CTTATGCGCCGCCTGAGCCATCCTGGTCTTATCTCTCTTTTCCTTGGTTTGTTGTGGCCCCTTCAGTTCAGGATTGTTTCTCAGAGACTTTTTTCCCTGTTAGCATTGGCCTCTGGGGGTCGGGTTGCGGAGTTTCATGCATTCCTTTGGTGCAGGGGTTTCTGCTGTTTTGGTCGTGGTGGTAGGTTTGTTTGTCTGCAGCTGTCTCCTCCTTTTCTGGCGAAGAATGAGACTGCTACTTTCCGGAGAGGTCCTTGGGTTGTTGATGCTTGGTTTGTGAGGCCGGGAATGCATCATGTGGTATGTCCAGTTGCGGCCCTCTGCCATTATTTGCGCGCCACGGCTTCTGTGTCCATGGACGCGCTTTGAGTTTATCTTGAGATGATTTCGTGGCTTTTAGTGTCCCCGCGGCCCGGTCCTCGACCAGGCCTCCACCCCCAGGAAGCAGCCTGTGATAGCTGACTAACACCCAGGTACTTATTTTACTGCTAGGTAACAGGGGCATAGGGTGGAAGAAACTCTGCCCATTGTTTCTCGCCGGCGCCTGGAATCGAACCCAGGACCACAGGATCACAAGTCCCGCGTGCTGTCCGCTCGGCCGACCGGCTCCCGATCAACTGGAGTTGATCCAGTTTCCCTTTCTTCCCTGTTAGCGGGTACGGGTATCTCAGGTCGTCCGCAGGGTTATTAAGTCTAGCCAGCTTGCAGCCTATTCCCATGCCCATGACGTTTGTAAGTATGTTGTTCTTGCTGCCATCTTTGGTTACATGTCTTGGGTTGACATTCGGGCCCGCAGGGTTTTTGGCGGTCAAACCGGGTCCTGACTGCACACTACCTCGTAAATGTTCCTGGGCCTAGTCTGGACTGTGTCGTTTTGGGTCAGCTGTTGCAGCCAGTTGTCTCGACTTTGAGTTGAGATGTGAGCATCGACCACCTCCCGGGTAAGTCCCCTTTCTTTTTCGTCTTTGGTGAAGTAGCTTCGGGAAGCTATAGGGGCTCTCCCCCAGAAAACCAGCATTGAATGTAATGAAACTCTATTTTCTGGGCGAGTCCTGGAGGCTCCCCGCCAACCCTCCCTCCCTCTGGTCAGCGTTTTTTTGCATGTTTTGACATCCAGCCTCGGTACTGGGGTGTGGGCTGCTGGCACGGGGGTCTGGGGCTTCCCCTTTCCCCTCCCGGGGAGGGGAGAGCTGCGCAGACACACAAGCGGCGCAGCTTGTGTGACATCATGCTCGTTTGCTTGTTTTTATTTATGGAATTCTGTCTACTCGTTTGTCTATTTTCGTTGTTATTAACCAGAATTTTTTTTTTCGGGGCACTAACCTTTCTGGGTGCCTGTCCCGGTCAGTGGCAGATATACAATGCACCAAAATCACATGTGCATTCTATAGGCCATTGCTCCTCATGCCTCTCTGAGGGGGCCAGGTTCTGGCTCGCGGTCCCCGATAGGCCTAGAACTCCACCCACATTGACTGATGCAAAAATTAGGGATATTGATATCAGCCCGGATAGCTCTGGAAAGGCTCTGGGACTCGCCCAGAAAATGGCGTTTTAGTACATTCATCGCTGGTTTTTTCTGTTTGTTTACTACAGGGCACCACCATTTGGCCCCTCAGGAAAACTAGTGTTGAATGTATTAAAATGGACTTTTCTGGGGGGCCTCAGTTAGCTTTATGGACCTTCCCCTTCCTACTATGTTTATAAGTTTCTTGTTTTTTTTTTGCTCTGGGTTTATGATTGTTAACATGGGAGTTGACAGCTCCTGTGGTGCTGCAACCTAGTGGGGGCCAGTTGTAACTTGGGACCTAACTCCTGGGGATGATCGTTTGTGAAGAGGTTTACTGCATTTGTGTCTACTTTCTGTGAAAGTAGTTGTTTCACTTTCTTTCTGGGGGTATATTTCTTTGGTGAGGGGTGATCATGAGTCCCTCCTGCTCCCTGTATCTCTGCTAAGTGGCCAGGTTTTGGCCTCTGGTCTCTGGTAGGCTATTAAGGGTCCCTACATCGGATGTGAATTGTGTGTGGTGGCATCTTAATGCAGCTAGGTACCAAGAGTCACCAAGATTTTGCCAAAAGGAGGAGTTTCATTACATTCAACATTTTGTATTTTAAGTACAAAATAAGTATTATCGCTGGTGGCAACTATTAAACATTTGCTTAGCTGACATTTATCTATCCCCTCCCTACTCTCTCCTCTTTTCTCTTCTCCTGGTGTGGGGCATTTGGGGGCTTGCTCATCTGGTCTAGTGCTCTTGGGAAGAGGTGTCACTTGGGCATTCATGAGGTGCTGCTTCCTTTAGGTGTGTGTACACTATTTTAGCTGTGTGTTCTCACTGCAAGTTGCAGTGCTTCATTGGTATCAGCGGGTTTCAGGTTTGCTGGAGCGCATTGCAGTGCTTCTGCTCCTGGTGCTGAATTCCGGTCTGTGGAGTCAGGCTGTAGACATGTTATTTCTGAACTGCCCAACTGTTTTCAGGCAGTGTGTCCAGTTGTTCCTGGCCTGTGTGCCCCATTTATCCCGGTTTGTGTGCCTGGCTGTTCTCAGACGGTGTGCAGGGATGTGTCATAGTGTTTCTGTGCTATGTATTCGGTCATTCTTGGGCTGTATGTCTGTCTCTTTCCAAGCTGTGTTTCTGGACACCCCTGAGCTGCTTGCTCAAAAATTTCAGATTAGGGGTCTGGCCATTTTTGGGCTCTGTGGCTGGTTTTTGCTGGGGACTTCTTGGAACTGTTTCCTGTTGATTCCCAGGTGTATCTCTGAACCTCTTGGTTTCAGCTAGACATTATTCTGCCTTCACTTCTTTGGTCTATGTTTCCTAGCTACTGGGCTACAGTGTGGGATCGAGGGTATTTGTCACCATGCTAGTGCCTGTATTCCAGGAGCCCTCTTTTAAAGCCACCTTCTCTCAAGGGGTAAGCCCTGGCCACATTGTTCTTTTTCAAAATTTCTGTCTTCTTTCACCTTTGTGGTGGTAAGTTAGTGCAGGGAGCTACTGAGAAAATCAGCATTATCAGAAAATCCCAGAAATCAGCATTAAATGCAATGAAACTTTCTTTTCTGGTAGGGCCCTCAGTAGCTACCCATTCATGATCGGTTCTCTTCCTTGCTGTGGGGTAAAAGGGTCCTGTTTGGGTGGTTCTTGTGTTAGAGGACAGGCTGGCAAGGATTTAAGGTGTTAAGTTACCAGCTGGTGGCAGCCAGGCACAGCACGATGACTGTTCATTGTGGCAATGTTCATTTTTCTAGTTGCCTAAGGGTACCTACTTTTCTATGAGCAGTGGCTAGTTTTGTTACGTTAGTGTTTTCTGGAGGCTTTGTTTTTCTCGTTTTTGGCTTGATCTGTGAACTCCCAAGCTCCACTTACATTGTAGAGGGAGGCAAATTCTGATCCTGACTTCTGGCAGGCCTGAGTATCTCCTGGAGGCTTGGCAGGATCAGTGCTTAGATTGGGGAGCTACCAAGAGCTTCACCAGATAGAGCATTTCCTTACATTTAACCACATAACTGCGCCAACCTAGTATTCTCGGTCGGCGGGAAACTGCGCCAACCGAGAAAACTCGTTTTGATTTTTCGGTACCAATTCTAAATGTGTACGAGGTTGGTTGTGTACGAAATGGACTCTTAGGACCTCCAGTGAGAGGCAGCCATCTTGGAAAAAATTCCCAGAATGCCCTAGGGCTGCTGTCTGGGTTAGTACTGAATGAGCAACCATAAGTGGTGCACGCGCCTCTGGCTCCCAAACACCTTTCCGACGCAGTGTTGAAAGATAACGCTCTGTCGGTGAAATTTAAACCTCATTGTTTGAAGAACATAAGGGTCATAATATTGGTGAAGCTAGGCGCAATAAGGACCTAATACAAAAATCGGATGCAAGTGATACAGCACCTATGAGGACGATACAGCGAGCGTATCCAGTTGTAGCTCTGAGCGTCACCCTTGCAATCCTATGCTATATCCAATATATTTAGATGATACATAGATGAATCATTTTCTGCATTCAGGGATGATGCATCTGATACAAGTAGCATAGATGAACAGTGTTAGCGGCTTCCATGGTGGTGTTTTCAATAGATATTTTCAAGAATACCTGAATCTCTTCCTGACTGATGGACACTCTTTGAGGCTAGCTGAATCTCTTTCTGACTGACAGACACTCTTTGAGGCAAGCTGAATCTCTTCCTGTGTGGGACCATACAAAGCGATCTTTTCAAGACTACCTTACAAATTTATCTTTTCCTGTAATCTTTTTATTACTACCTTATGCTTTACAAGCTTGGCTACATACTACCTACAAGTACTAATGCCAAGGGTGTATGTGAGTGCGTTACTTGCAAGCACACAGAATGAAGAAACAGAAAGTGAAAATTTATCTGTACCTGGTGCACTGAGAGCGAAGTCGCGCTGTGTACCATGGACTACTTCGTTGATTATTACTCACTTCCAAAGTACTGCGTGTGTAATACAGTGTGTTACTGTGTAAATAGTGTGTGACACTGTATATATTGTTATTTTAGTGAATTTTTAACAGGTAATATTGCAACAATATATATTTATTGTGGACACATTACTGACACATGCATCACAGTACCATGGAACATTACGAACGTTCTACTGTATACATATTGTAAAGGACACAAATATGCATCATATACAATAAAAAACTAATAAAACCGCATTGGAAATACATAGAATAAATAATTGAAAATATATTTGTGGCAACACGCGGTGCTTGAATGGCCCGCGCGACCGTGTCTGGGCGAGTCACACACGGGCGACCAGGCCCTGATGACGTCACAGCTCATCTTGTCCACGTCCCCACAGCCAAAGTAAGTGGAATTTGGTGTTTATTTTTACATAGACATGTTCAGAGAAGGGAATTTATCATTTTACGAAGAAAAAAGAATTTTTTAGGAACTTTATTTCATGTGGAACGGGGGAACTTCACAATAAACTCGGCGCAACACAGTGGTTAATGCTTAATTTTTTATATTTTTTCCAGTGCAATGCGGGACCAGTATATGCGAACAGGGGAAGGGTTTCTGCTTGTGTTTGCTGTCAACAATGCTAAATCATTTGAAGACATAAGTACATATCGGGAACAGATAAAGAGAGTTAAGGATGCTGAAGTGGTACCAATGGTTTGTAAGTACAAATTTAATCTGAAGTTAATGCATTCTATTTGATATATGTTTAATATTTACTTACCTAGATATCTGGTAGGATGAATATCCTATAGTTATATTGTACTTATCCTTGTTAGGGGTGCAGTATATAATAGTTGCCGATGGTTTTGCCCTTGAGTTTTATGTCATGTGGTTTCCTGGTGGTATCTTTAGAATGATTCCTAAAAATCCAGCGTTGAATGTAATGAAACCCCATTTTCTAGGTGAGCCCCGGAGGCTCTCATGGAGCTTATTAGGCTATTGTATGTTATATTAGACCGGGACATTAGCTATGGAGTTCAGACCTACCAGGGACCAGCGCTAGAACCTGGCCCCTTCAAAGAGGTTTCAGGGAGCAATGGCCCTGGAAACCCCCTTGTGGTTGGGAGTTTTCCTTATCTGCCATTGACTGGGGTTAGGCACCCAGAAAGGTAGGCATAACAAAACAAACCCCACATGGTAAGAAACTAAAACAAAAAACAGAGATGTAGAAACTCCCTACAATCCCAAGGAAACAAGCAAACATCACACTTTACTGCCATGACAATTGTCCACACAGCCTTCCCTGCCACAAGAATGGGGGGAAGGCCCGGACTTCACCGCGCCGGCTGCCTAGCACCAGTATGGAAGCTAAGCTTCAACCAACGTGAAAAAAACGCTGACCGGTGGGAGGGAGGGTTGCCAGGGAGCCTCCGGGGCTCGCCCAGAAAATGGCGTTCCATTACATTCAACGGTGATTTTCTGTGGGGAGCCTTTACGGCTCCCTGGAGCTTCATACCCAAAGAGAAGGAAAAGAAAGGGCTGACCCGGGAGGCGGCCGCCACAAACTCCACAACGTGAAGTCGAGACAACAGGCAGCAACCTGCAACCCAAAGCAACACAAGAACGCACAGGAGCAGACATGCTCACAAATGAACAGGCGGCCAGGAACCTGTGTGACCCCAAATCTTCATGCCCGAAATGAGCCCAAGATGTCACCAAACACAGCAGTGAAAGCTGCAAATGTCCGAACGGCACAGGCGCAAGGTTAGACCGCAGGCTGTTAGATTTAAGAAAACTGCGGACGACCTGGAAGACCCGAGCCCTGAAACAGGGAACGAGGGGAACTGGATCAACCCAAAGCGCATCCCCAGCCACGACACGCAGGTAACGGCGAAGAGCCGCAACCGGACAACACGTGTCGCACCCCCGCCGAACCAACCAAGCATCAATAACCCAAGGACCTCTCTGGAAAGCAGCCACCTTGACCACCGCCAGAAGGACGGAGAAAGGCTGCAAGCGTACAAACCTACCACCAGTACCAAAAAAGCAGAATCTTGAACTGAAGGGGCTACCACAAACTGATGAGAGGAAGGATAAAAGGGCACCCTGATCAAGGACCAGGACGGCTCGGGCAGCGCAAGAGCAGGCCGGAGGTGAAACACAACACGAGAAATTTGAATGAGGCAGATGTGATGTCCACCCCGAACGCAAGCCAGAGCGGCTCCATCAGCGCCGCACAACACGAGGCGGCAGTAGAAGCATTAATTAACAGTCCTGAAAAACCCAAGAAAGGACAAGACAACTCAATGCAAAAGAGGAGACAACCTACCAAGAGCAAGAAAATGGGGAATAGAAACGCCAGGAACGTTATCTTGAGGTTATCTTGAGATGATTTCGGGGCATTGGTGTCCCAGCGGCCCAGTCCTCGACCAGGCCTCCACCCACAGGAAGCAGCCCATGACAGCTGACTAACACCCAGGTACCTATTTTACTGCTAGGTAACAGGGGCATAGGGTGAAAGAAGCTGTGGTGATGCAGCACCAACACAAGATCCCCAGATGACGACCCCAACGATTACGAGAGGCGGAAGGGGAGTCCCTGAAGGAACCAAACAGATGCCGAAGCCAAACACGACCCGACGGGCAGACCAGCACGGCAAAGTTCAGACTCCTGCACAACCACTCGAGCAACCACCGAGTGACCCGGGACCCCTCGTAAACAGCCGAAGGCGGGACCACAGCCGCAGCAACGCTTCTGGAGGGAAAGAAAGAAGCTGTCTAAGAGTCCTAAACAAGACCCAGCCAGGTCTGAACCCGGGACGGAACCAGATGGAGTGGCCTCTAGATCACCAGGAATTCAAACCCGGCAATCTGGAAAGAACCACACCCCTAGCGAGCAGACAAGCGGACTGACTGGGAGCCCACACCGATCAGTCGTCGAGATAGGCCAGAAACCGAATCCCGAGTAGACGCAGACAAGTCACCAAGATCCAGTAAAGATGCGTAAATACACTAAGTGCCAATTACAAACTAGGGAAGGCAACAAAAGCGGCAAGCCTGAAGCCCCACCACCAACTGTGTCAGTCCCGGAACCCTGGAGAGGAACGTGCCAAGAAGTGACCCGGAGGTTCAGTTGACACCATCCAGGCACCCAGCCCCAACAGAAGCTGGACCGGATACAACAGTCTTCCGAAGAGGGCAAAGAATCCAGGGTGCAGACTGCATAAGTCCAGAAGAACCGCAAGGCCATTGTCTGCACTAGAACAGGCGGGAACCTCGGAAGGATGGGGTGGAACGACCACGTCCAAACGCACCCACACCAAGATGGCATGACGAAGCGCAGGGGAAGAAGCCCTGAACCAGCCTCCCGCCAGCCCCAAACCGCCCGACGCCACCAAAGGCCGGAAGAAAACCACAAGTGAGAGCTAACAGAGCAAACTGCTCTCCCAGCACCCCATCAACAGCGAAGGGAAGGGAACCCCTTCCGAAAGAAAATGTATATATATAAATACACACACATACATACATGTACATACATATAGATATACAGTGGTACCTCGGAATGCGATTGTCCCTGTATGCGAGGTTTTCGGAAGGCGAGGTGTATTTACTCCAAAAATTTGTCTCAGAAGGCGAGGGTTACTTCGGGAGGCGAGTTTGGACGCGAGTTTGTTGATACGCGTACAGCCGACCTAGCGCGTTCGTCGCCCCTCCGCCCCGCCGCCCCTCAGTTTATTATTGTCTGGCGCTCAGTGACTACCCCCACATCAATTCTTCTCGCGGATTTTCAGTGTTTTGTTGGATTTTTGGTGATTTGTCTATACAATTTGTTATTATATATCTCACCATGGGTCCCAAGAAAGCCAGTGGTAAGGATAAAGGCCAGAAAGCTCCTGTGAGGATGACAATAGAGGAGAAACAAGAGATCATTTGGAAGCATGAGAACGGTACACGTGTTGTTGAACTTTGTAGGCAGTACAACAAAGCCACATCAACAATATGCACTATACTTAAGAAGAAAAATAAGATTATGGGTGCTAAAGTGGCAAAAGGAGTAAGAACATTAACGGCACAAAGACCACAAATACTTGAAGAAGTGGAAAAGTTGTTATTAATTTGGATACACGACAAGGAGTTGAGGGGTGATAGTGTTTCGGAGGCCATTATTTGTGAGAAAGCCAGGGTGTTGCACGAAGACCTTCTAAAGAATACCCCTGCAACGAGTGATGCAGATAAGAAAGAGTTTAAGGCAAGCAGGGGCTGGTTTGAAAAATTTAGAAAGAGAAGTGGTATCCATAGTGTTACAAGGCATGGGGTTATGTGATGTGATTATGGAAGGGGCCTCCCCTTCCAAACAGTAACTCCTCTCCTCCTCCCCCCTCCTCACCATCTTCCATACGCCTACAGCACTCGACAGCAAGGTAAGTAATAACTGGAACACAGTTTTGTAGGTTTATTTAGATGAATTAGGTAAATTAGGTATAAAAATTTAGTTTGATGTGGGGTTTTTGGGGTAGTCAGGAACGGATTAATTCATTTCCCTTTATTTCTTATGGGGAAATTAACTTCGGAATGCGAGTTTTCGGAAGGCGAGGCGTCTCCAGGAACGGATTAAACTCTTATTCTGAGGTATGCCTGTATACACACATTGTCTCCACTCGATTATCCGGACTATATGGGAAGGACCCCTAGCCGGATAATCACGTGTTCCGTATAATGGTACTTTTTCACCTACAAGTTCAAAACTAACCATTTCCAACTATTTTTATACTACAAAAAACATAATTTGAAATGCCTTGCCACATATAATTATTAAATATTCAACTAAAAACCTCAACTTACCTTGTTGTTGTTCATCTTCTTGATTGATGCCACACATCTTGAAGTTAAGAATTCTTGACAATATACGTAACCTATACTAACACAACACTAAAATTAACACTTAAAATTACTGTACAGTTCATTAGGCAGAGTTAGTTTTGACTGTCAGCTGCGGAAGCCTCACTGGTTGAAGGCATTTGGGTTGCCTGTGACGCCTCACTTGTTGAAGGCGCTTGGCTTGATTTTCGTACCATATAATAATAGTGTAGCTTGCCTTCTGTGTTCACTGGCCAGTTGTATGCTCAGCTCTTTGGTTCACCTCAGGCACTGATACATGTTTCCAACTTCTGGATCAGCACAATTGGATGAAAAATTGATTAATCCGTCAACATAGGTCATGAGTACACTGTATTTTGTGGTCATTGGTGTTGGTTCTTCACTGCCTTCTTCATCCTCCTCCTCTTTGTCGACCTCACCAGTAATAGACTGGAGAATCTCATCTTCACTCATCACACCATATCCTGGGTCATTGGCATCTTTTTCAAGCCAATCATCCACATCCTGTCCTTCTAAGTTTTCGCCGGCATTTCTGAACATTCCATGGATTTCATCTGTAAATCTTTCAAAATCCATTTCTTCATCCTCCTCACTTCTGACCGTAGACGTGAGGAGTTTTTCCAGGAATTTTTCAAAGTTTTCCTTTGCTTCACTCAACACCTTTGCCCAGTTATAGATAGCTTCCTTGATTGTATAGTTCAAATTCTCAAAGTTTTTCTGGGGGGAGCCCCTACGGCTCCCCGGAGCTATCCATGGCTGATATGGATACCCTAACTATTTTGCATCAGTCGATGTGGGTGGAGTTCTAGGCCTACCGGGGACCACGAGCCAGAACCTGGCC